TGAACAATACGAATCGTGAACATGGTTAAAACTCGGACACATGGAAACACCAGAGATTGGTTCATATGCCTAGGAAGAGTAAGCATCCCCAGTCGATTTGTCACACCCAACGTAAACCCTTAATTTGTGTAATCTGTAGTTAAAATTAGTATGAAAAAATGGTATTACATTTTGTATGAAACATGTCTGTCGAAATATGACCCAACGATAGACAGTATTACTTTTGCAATCAAGGTTATTATCATGACTATAGAATTTCCGAAATGATTTATTTCGTGGGTCTATAAAACAATTATACACCCATGAATAAAATGTATTAAAGATATCCTTAATTCTTGTAGACTGTCTTATATATGAACCAGTCAAACATCTCATAACTGCTTAAGTGAATTATTGAAGAAACTCTAAGAAACCAATCTGTACAATAATGGAGACGCATTGTCGGTAGTTCTCCTAAATGAATAGATTATAAAAATTTTAAATTTTGGTCTCGAAAATTATTTGCTGAATTTACCAAACGATTTTAGAATTACATTTACAAAACTTCAAACATGTAATCATTGTTATCCAGTTGAAACAGGTAGATGGAATAATACTGACGGAAATGAAAGAATATGTACCGTTTGTCATTGTAAAAGTAATGGTAATGGTGATGAATTTTATTATGTTATGGAAAGTACGTAATTCTCGAACGACAGAAAAAATATTTCTCCTAAATAGATATTGTAAAAATCCTAATATTTTTAAGTTTAATGAACTAATGAACACAAACAATACAAAAATCTTTGTCAAAATATATTAAGGAAAAAAAAAATCAAAACTGTCTGTCCTTCTTGAAGCCTCCATAACTGATTATATATTTACCTTTTTCTTTTCATTTTTTTAATATACCTGTCTATTGTTTGTACCCTTTACTGTTACAGTGTATTCGTTTTGTGTATATTTGTTATATATAATTATCTCTTTTCCCAGTAATCTGGTTTCGAGAGAATAAAGAATTGAAATTTTCCACAGGAATATACTTCAAATTAAAATTTAAGTTCTACATTTTCTTCATTTTTATTCAAGAAATATGTTAAAATGTTGCAAGCATGTATAATATTTTTAGGAAACATTTAATAAAACAAAATTGTTTTGTTTTCAAATTTATTTTAAAAGTTAAACTAATTTGAGACTTGGATTAAAGTGCCTTCTCAGTTATGGTCTTGAGACCTTTTAAACACCAGAAGACAGTGTAAGTCACACAAATCTACGATATAGAAGTATGATAAGTTTGGAAAGCACAATTATTCGTCAAAAAATGGAAGTTTTGAATGAATGAGAAGAAACATACGAAACTAAACAATGAAACGATACGAAAATGACCTTGTGACCCGTCTATTTGCCACAGTCCATAAATAATTCATTGGCTCGTGTGCGGTACACACATCGTGGATTTTGATGGCCGTATGAATGAAGGAACCTACATCACATTGTTTTAAACATAAAAAAAGCTAACAGCACTTTAATAGATTTACGATATTTGAAACTCTACATTGATATATTCTGATAGTGAACTTGATCAGCTTGTCATAGTATTGTAATTAATGTCGCAAATGCTCCAAACCTCTCTAACGGTAGATGTAATCACACAGAATCAGAATCCATCAAAAGCATGTTTTGTTATGGTGTACTAGAATTGACAAATTATGCCATCAATTTGAAGACGTTTTCTTATGTTGTTTTATAGATTTAATTCACCGAGCATTAATCATTCTTGACTCGTTGAATTCTAAATGCATATTCATGAAGAAAATTAAACTCTTTGTACCTCCGAATAAAGTACATACATGCTATTTATTATCTGTCAGGTATAGCTTATGTGGTTGACAAATCACACAAGAAGGAAAACAAGTTTGACTCAAGATATTATGCTGTCATGTGAATTGTCCACAATTGTATTCCAAATCTGCATAAAATATTTCAAAACTAGAAACTCTATCTCTCTCTAAGTTATTACTATTTTTCTTCTTTGTCAGATGTACGAATGTTTGTAGAAAAATTAAAAGGATTTGTTTTTGTTGAAATCTGAGTGCTTGGAAATTTGAACATTTTTAACTGAAACTTACTGCTCCGACACAGAGCAAAAAAAAAAAAGTGAAGGCACAATTCATTAAACCCCAATGATCCGAAATAATTTCAATAATATTTTTCATTACTGAATTATTCAACATATAGTGTTCATGTCCATTTTTCAGATTGATTGATTGATTGTATGTTTTTTTAACGCCCAATTCGAGTTAGAGACGTAACCTCATACCGGAGAAGAGCTTCAAATTTAGACCTATACTCGGCACTCAGGGTCACTGAGCAGTGATGGTTCTTTATTGTGACAACGCCTACCGTGACACACAACCTCGGTTTTGAAGTTCTCATCCGAAAGATACTTGACTTTCACTTTTAATGCCGGGCAGTTTGTGAAGTACCAATCACTACGTATGTTACATCTTTGGCGCGGTGAACGAGAATCCAACCTCGGGTACCCGATGCAAACGCCCTACCACTAGTGTGGGCTATTGTTACTAATTAAGATGCAATAATTTATTGGTAAGATATTAATAATAAATTAAGATGATTTGATCCTAAAGACTGTCCATCTAATATTTCATCTACTTGATCAATACATAGGGCTCATCGAAGATGTGACCAGTAGACAGGGGATGCTTACTCCTCCTATGCACCTGATCCCAACTCTAGAATTTCCGGAAGTCAGTGTTTTGTTCCCTGTTCATAGATTTGTTTTCTTAGTTGGTTTGTTTTTGATCGATTACTGTTCATTTTCTTCAGCTATTCATTGTTTCAGAAATTATTCGAAATTCAAGATAAGGTAGCTAAATTCTTCAGATTCAAGATTTCAATCTATGCTTGTATTTTGGTTAAAGATCTTAACAAAAAGTCATGATGTGCCAAAAAAGGGCAATGAAATATATATACACACATATATATATATATATATATATATATATATATATATATATATATATATATATATATATATATATATATATATATATATATATATATATATATATATATATATTGGTAATGATATCTTTTGTAATGGGCATTGTTTAACGAATTATTTTCAGAAAATATTAGAATTTAAACGAAAGGGATCTTTGTGTTTATTTTTTTTTCTCTGAGAGCTCGTTTTTCATTTCTTAGTGGTGTAAATCTGCTGTATATCATATATTTTTTAATTTAAAGATCTATTTAATGCCAGTTAGCACTAATTTACAAGGTTAGTTTGAAAAATAAAACAGAAAATATAAATGTGTATATCATGAATGAAAAATCTGTAAAATAAACTCAATGATGCAAAACGAGTTCTCATTATCATTTTTTACGCAGTGCGGTTTTGGGTTCCCAGAAAAACTCTACAAAACAAAATAATTATGTATATTCACAAATGCATCATTTCTACGGGTCAGCACATCAAAATTAAGGGATATCATTTTTTGTAAAATAAATAAGAATATTCAATTACCTAGATTGATATTTCACTACTTAAAATCCCACGTCTCGGTTATGAAAAGTTACATATGTCGCTACGAATTAGTAAACTGACGGTTGTGTGTATTTGCCATTCACAGTGTATGTTTCCTTATTACTCTGATGGTATAGTTATCAATCATTGTGGCTTCACCCTAGCACCGCTACACAACTGTGTAACGGAGAACACCGGTAGGTAATATTTTATAAGTCACAGTTTTACTTATCTTTAAAATTCTCGTGAATGTTTTTGACTTTTTGCCTGGATCACTTCAAACATGAGTCTTTGAAGAGATTTCAAGTTTTAAATGTTCATGCACTTTGAATAGAACCATGTTAACATGGCAATAAGTTTTATATGCTTCCTATCTATTTTTTCTGTTTTCGGAGAAAATCTACTTCCACGATTTCTTTTCTTTTTAATCAAATTCAGATCAATGGAGATCTTCAGGTAGTGAATATGATAGGTTATTCTATTAAAAGTCATTCCTTTTGTGGCCCCTACAGAAAAATATTAATGCTGTGGTCATGTCAATCAAAAGCTACTTAGCGGCAAATAAACATTATATATTTTAAGAAAACAATTGTTGATTCATTTAAAAAATCCATATGGTTGGATAAACATGGGATGTTTTGTAAGTTAAACTTTACTTATTTAAACCCAGAGAAAAAAATTTTCTTATCTTTTTAAAAACTATAAAAAAGCGTCATAATTTAAAGAGCCTGAAAAGTGCAGAACATATTCTATTTATAAAAAAAAATCTTGTAATCTAAACCGTCAGCATTCAAAACATGACAGTTAGCAAGAAGATCAGTCTAAAGATATGTTCTGATCTGGTCTCCTAGAATAAGTTCTTTTGAGAAATTCGTCCCATATTGCATAGTCATTTGAGTATTGTTTAATTTCCAATTGGTGTTATCCACAAAAAGACAACCACAGTGAAATGCCGGTAATTCATTGAATTCTAGTAATTATTTGATGTTACTTAAATATTCAATTTTTGTTATGACATCTTATTTAGGTAGTCGTAATTAAGGTCACAAATGAGACATCAGCCAAAAAGATGTTCCATGTGTGCAAAACAATATATGTACATAAATTTACATATCTGTGCTACTTTACATTTAATTCTATTAATATCGCAAGATAAAAGCGGCGAACTTAATTTTATACATATTTTGATTCTGATATTATGATAACCATGCATTGTTTTCATGTCTTTTACAATACAAAGACGAGGGACGAGGGAACACAATTCACTGAGGCTGGCAGATGTCCTTTTATATGGATAACAAAATGGAACAGGATTTTCTGCAAGTTTATTATCATGAGTTTGTAATACATACAAGGACAAAACAAAAACTTTATGCATCATAGTCGCGTGAGGAGAGCAAATCAATCTGTTCAATTCTTCAAGATGATGAGATTCTTTTGGAATATCATTTGCATCCTTTGTTTTTTTCATCTAGGACGTTTACAAATGATTTCAAAATGTGGAATTCCAAAATGCAGGTTTAGCCTGAGAACAAAATCCGAATATGTTTACGACCAAAATGATGTCCCAATGAAAGCAAAAACAACTGGTCTCGGTATTTATCGGTCAAATGAAAACGATCAGTACAATTATAGTAAGTGCTACATCGATACGGCCAGTGTTCTGGACAAATTCCAGTTTGACGAAAATCCACTTTATGCTGTTCTTATTCTAATGTGTAACAGAGAAGTTGAAGTGTTTTTTAGTGAGGATGACAGACCTTACTTACCGAATGTAATCGGATATATACAAATTAGTTCATGCCTTATTACTCAGGAACAACTACGTCCTTTCAGAGACAGATTTGTAATGCATTTTATCAATATGTTATTTAACTATCCTCCGCAGGACTCTGAATATTGCAAAGGAAACCCCTTAAATAAAAGTTATTGTGAGATATGGAACACGATTGATGGTTTCATATGGGAACCACAGTTTTCAAATCCAGCGGCATCTGTAACACCACTTATTAATATTTTTAATTGTAATTTAACATTTCCCTCTGTGAGAGAAATACAACTAACGAAGGTTCCTATGAAACAGTATTTACCGAAATTACCAGATTTGTTTCCAAGATTACAAATGCTTAATATTATTAATTCAGACTTGACAGAGCCTCCGGATTTCCCATGGAACGATGAATGGTTGCCACTTAGTTACAATTTGTCAAGGACGAATGCTCATCATTTTCAGTTTGCTGAACAGTTTAACATAGATATGCCAAAAAACTTTTTTAGGAAATCAATGCAACTGAGTAAAAACAATATATCAGACCTCATGACTCATAACTTCGAAGGCTTTCTGATATCACTTGATTTATCAGAGAATGGACTCAAAGCAGTTAGCGAGTTTACATTTAGAAACATTCGAGGTCTTCAGCATCTTGATTTGAGCCGAAATAATTTGCTATTAATTCCGAGGAATGCTTTTAAAAATCTTACAGAGTTGCGCCATCTGGATGCAAAAGATAATCTTTTATCTCACCTCTCAAGGTATCTGTTATCCGATAACAAAGCTTTGGTGTACATAGATTTTTCGAAAAATAAGATAAGAACAATTGAATCAAACACATTTTCTCATTTACAATTTCTTAGAGAACTTCACTTAGAATACAATGAAATCACAGTTTTACACCAACAATGTTTTCCAAGTCAGTCACTTAAATTTAAGAAACTTTTTCTAGATGGCAACAGTTTTTCTGAAATCCCAACAGCCGTATTTCATTTGCAGTCTTTGGATAAAATTAGTATCACAAACTCAAGTATAAGATTTCCAAATTTCACTCGAACAATGTTAGACATAAAATGGATGTTTACACAGGAGGATGGAGAGGAAACACCCGGCACCCCAGATAATACGAATTCTGACAATAAGCAGCAAACTGATATTTTTCATAAAGTAGTTTTAGACCTCACTGGTAACAAAATTGACAACCTCAATCTACCTTATTACAATTTAAACGATGTAAGTGAAAAAGAAACAAAACAACTACACAATATTCTCCTGTTGTTCTTGCAAACGTTTCAGATTCAGCTGGAGAACAACCCTCTTCGTTGTGATTGCGGAATAAACCAAATATCTAAAGTAGTAAATCATTTCTTAGAGAAGAAATTAATTAAAGAGGATATATATTTCAATACGTGGAAATGTTTCTCACCAACTGAATTTCAAAACCGTCCACTTTTAGAAATAAAAGAGGAAGACACATATTGTGAGAAAAACATGTCTTTCTGCCCGACAAATTGTACCTGCTTTGAAAGATCTATGAGCAGAATAAATATTATAGATTGCCGGGATCATGGATATCGCAAATTACCAATACGTTTACCCTCTGGAATTTTAGATCTTTGGTTTGATAAAAACAATATCACCACATTAGATAATAAAGAATACATGGACCGAATTAGAACATTGAACCTCTCCCGTAATAATATTGCACGCATTGAACCAGGAGTATTTAAGCAAATGAAAAATATTCAAGAACTCTCTTTAAATTCTAACTTTCTTGTTTCTCTACCTGCTGAGATTCAGATATATTTCTCTGGATCTATTTATCTAGAAGATAATCCATTCAAATGTGATTGTCACACAAAGTGGTTAAAACAATGGATGACGCAACGTGCAGATATCGTGGTCGACTCCCAGAAAGTTACATGTAATGTTGATGAAGAAAATAGGGAAGGACAGAAATTGATTTTTGTACCAGATAGTGATTTCATCTGTTTGGAGGACTATGATTCCCACAATAAGGTCTTTATTCCTACAGTTGTGTGCTCCGTTTTGCTGGTAGTACTGATAGTAACCGTGTCCGTCTTATACATCTATAGACTGGAAGTAAAAGTTCTGCTATATGTTTACCTTGGATTTCATCCCTTCGATCAGGACAAAGATTGTAAAGAAGTCATTGACGTGTTAGTCGTACATTCTCCTAATATAACGGACTGGGTCATGGAAAATATTGTCGAGTATTTGGAGTTCTGTAATTCACATTATTTGGTTTGTGAAATGATGAGAGATTTTGTTGCTGGTTTTTCATATCAAGAAAACGTTGCAACGTTAGTAAAACATAGTAAAAGAATCATAATAGTGCTTTCAAAAGACTTCCTGAATGAAGATATACTTAAAATTGCATGGAATGAATCTCAGGAAAAGATAAAAGCACAGAAAGCCAATTATGCTATCGTTGTTTCACATAATGCAAATATAAAAGAAATCCAAATCAAGGAATTGAAGCAATATGTAAAGGGAGGACGAAACATTGAAGCCTCACTAAGCCTCTTTCAGGAAAAACTTTTGTATTGTATGCCACAACTGAAAAATGATGAAACTAGACTCAAAAGCTTACCTGATTTAAAGTATCTTATTCAGCATATGTACGGAAGTGATGTTAACAATGCCGAAATGTATGAACGTCATGCATTCGTATCTTACGGTGAGAGTAAGATGGGTTATGTTATGAACGAACTGAGGCCTATATTGGAGGACAATGGATTTACACTGTGTCTCCCTGATAGAGATTTTATCCCAGGGGCACCGAAGGAAGAAAACGTCCTAAAAGCCATCGACAACTGCCTCCATACAATATTTCTTTTGTCTGGAGAACAGTTGGACAATGAGTGGTCAATATTCACGTTCCGGTCTGCCAGTGAAAAGTCAATGAGGGAGAAATGCAATCATCTGATTGTTGTTCTCGGGGATGACGTTAACTTGGATACCATGTGCGAGGAGGTCAGGGCATATGTGAAAACTCACGTTTCTTTATGTGTGAAGGAAAAGGGGTTTGTTAAACAGTTACTAAATGCTCTACCTGATATTGAGGATCACGAACTTTACATCCGAAATGATGAAAATAATTTTGTCAATTTTGAAAACCTGCATAATGAAAGTGAATACTGGCACGATGACACTGCTCCTGGAGTCATTGAAGAGAAAAAGAATGGGTATGTGAACGGTGGGAAACAAAATGGCAAACTTCATGTATCTGATATTCACTTGAATGGGTTCCATCGTTATGACAACAAAGCTTTTGAAGGACACGGGTCTTAGGAAAATGCCATATAAGGATTGTGAAAATAGCCAGAAAATTTGAATCTTTCGGAGAACAATCATGTCTGTCTTGTAATAGACTGTATGAAAAAGAATCATTCAGCAAAGAGTTGGAGGGGGGAAAAGTCTAAAATAGAATAGAAAAAGAGGTGCTATGTCAAATTACTGGGAGCATTTATTATTTTAGACGTAATAAGCTGTAATCCTTTAGATTTATTTATCATATGGTATAATTGTGAGATTTTATCAAAATATTTTCGTTTCCTCTTCATTTTTTCTCTAATTGAAAAAAAAAATCTTTCCATTTCTGTTTCTTTTTTAACAGTTTCATGTACGTTTGAAATATCACCAACTATGTGAAAGATACACTGAGTGGAGCCTTCTTTTTTAAAATAAGTATTTCAATGCAAAGGTAGAAAAGAATGCTCTAATTATTCATTACCAATGGTTTAATGTGAATCACTGTTATTTTTTTTTTTACAGGTGTTGGTTTGTATGTATATATATTTTTACTGATTACTATATCTACCTCTTGTTTCAAAAGCTTTACTAACTTTACCAAACACGTTTACCTCCCTTGTTCATAAGTTATTCAAAGGTTTATATTGTTGCTTTCACGCAATGTTTTAACCGTTTACTTTATTGTGTAATTATCTTCAATAAACAAGGTTTCATTAAATCAATTGCTTCAAATTTGTTTTGGAATGGTTTTACACAACAAATGGTGTAAAATGGTTCTTGTGTCTTATTCATGATTTATATTGTTCATGGACTGTATGAAATCAATCAGTGTTCTAATGCCATCTTTTCATTTTGATATTATGTAACCGAACATCTTTCACCTTTTTAGGTATACAAATTGAATAACCAGTATTAAAAAAGAGCACAACCAAACAAACATCGTTGAAAATAATGTGTTAACATATAAATTGAACAAACAGCACCAATATTTTTTTTTCATCTAACAAGGATTCTACTATAAAATCAGACTTGTATTCAAGTAATGTGTAAATTTTGTTGGTAACTGCAATGACAATTGAAAGGATGGCCTTAGAAACGCTTCTCCACCATTAATCAAAAATTAAATTTTCTTTTACTTAAAGTTAATGATTTGATTTTTGAATTATAACCAAATTTTACTCCTAACGTTAATCCAAATTGTTTTCAATAATTTAAGCCTTCTGTCAAGTGACAATTAAAAAGATTAAGAAACTTAAAACTTTTTAATTCAGTTAGCGGAAAACAGTGTGTACGTGTTTATTTATTTATTTATTTATTTTTTTAATTTCGAATTATATAAGTACTAGGACATTAGAATTTAAAAGAAAAGAAAAGGAAATAAAGGAAATATAGTTTATTACTCATAGAGAATTAATTTTGTTTTAATTTTTACTGTACGCTCTTAAGCTTAAACAATTTATTCCCTGAAAAGTACACGCTCATGTAGTAATAGATCCAATTAAAAAGAGGAAAAGTTAATTTTAGAACTAAAGTTGATGTTACAAGATATAAAGAAAAGAAACAAAAGGAATAAAAAAAATAGAGATAAAATGATTGTAGTTTTACAATTTCCCCTGCAATATTTTGCAAAAAATCTCTTCATTTCTTGAAGAGAACTTTCGAGTCATAAATTATTCCAGATTGATAAAAATGCATTGAAATGTGAAAAATAATATTTCACAGAGCTATAAAATATCATATTATTGATTAAATTAACAACATATACGTGTACATGATTATAGAGTAAATGTTATTTTAAAAGAATATCTTCAAACAATTCATTTAGAAACAAGAAAAATTCGCAGGGTATTTAATATTTTAATTTTTTTAATGTAGATTTGATAATACAATTGTTAAAAGTTTGAAAATATATTTGTACGCTTTAACACAACAGTTAAGATGACTGGCCATTACAATGAAATAGGTAGAGAATTACTTTAAACTTACCAATTATAGGATCCCAAAATCACTACTCTGTGATATGTACACACAAACACAAAATCAAAAATTCAAAATCGATTTCACACAGTGAAATCGTGATTTTTTTTTTTTTTTTTTTGATAATGAAATACTAAATTTCTTGTAAATCATAATGCCACGATTTTTGTTTATAATGATAATGCTCAAATCAGTTCTACTCACAACCAGATTTCTTGTAAATCATGGTACCGTGATTTATATATATATATATATATATATATATATATATATATATATATATATATATATATATATATATATATATATATATATATATATATATATATATATATATATATATTGATAATGTATGCCTAATTTCTTGTTAATCGTGGTACCGTTTTTTTTAAATATGTTAATGATGTGCTAGATTTCTTGCGCTGTTCTGATTAAAACTTTTATGTGTAAAAGATGAAGATAAGGAACAGTGATCAACCTCATAAATCCATTTAACAAAAGGACTCTTGAATAGGTAGAAAACTCCGACCCCTGGGAAACACTCCCGGGATTCAGACCCCCTTCACCTCAAAATCAACAAAACGAAATGAATGTGACTAGAGTTTACTTATTTAATATATACATAGGTATTTTATGAAGCCAATATTTTTTTTCTTATTAAGTATTCAGATACGTAAAAGACCAGTTATCTGGTCACTAGATTTTGAATAATTTGACAAATTTTATTCAGAAGTTAATTGTAAAGTGATATAAACTGATATAAATCATTTAAATCTATCTATCTATCTATCAATCTATCAATCTAATCTCTCTCTCTCTATTGTTTGACCTTAAAAGGAGATGGATAGAAAACGTGTTTTTAAAAATTAATTATTAGTATTTCACAGTTATGACCTTCTAACATATCAATTGCTCTAATATAAATAATTCATCGCATTGTGTGAGGTATACATGTCTCTTATTTTGACAGTTTTAAAATTTATTAATGTTCATTTCACACAGAGTATGTAGAAACTTACAAAAATGTAAAGATGAATTTGTTCAGTACCTCCAATATTGTGTACTTTGTACCATTGTATCTGATTGTAAAATGTTGTACCATTACCAGGAATATCTTTAGCTGAAAATAAAATATATGTACACAGGTATATTGCATGGATATGAAGTAGAACTGAAACATTCTTGTACAAAATATTCTTCAACATACTCCTTACCAAAGAATTACTGTCGGCATATTTAAATTTCAGTTGAATATTGATAATTATTATATAGTCTATAAATAGTCCCTATATAATATATGCAAACGCAAACAGTTCATAATACTACATATTCACTGGATTTGAAGCCGTATTCACCGGAGGGTCAGTGCACGTGCAGCGGCATTGTGACGTCACAATCAATACCTCAAACAATGTTGAAAAAAATTGTTGCAACGGCCGAATCCAGCTGTGTATCTGAGCAAGCAAAATGTTACGCAAATCTATCGCAGGATTATTTTACAAATATTTCGATATCTTACGCACAGCAAATCTAAAAGGAAAACACAGAAGTTATAAGTTGTAATCTGGACATTTTTTTTCCACAACAGAGGTACGTTAATGAAAATGGTATCGTCGTGCAGCCTTCAATGTCTTATTTATTCAAATCCTGACTATATAATAAAACAATTATGGACTCTTTCGTCGGTGAATATGGTTTGTTATTCACCAGAAAAATATCGATATTGACCGAGGCGAAGCCTCGGTCAATATCGATATTTTTCTGGTAAATAACAAACCATATTCACCGACGAAAGAGTCCATAATTGTATAATATTTTAACGAAGGTTGAAAAATTGACATCAGTCTAAGCCAGTTGCATGATCATGCTCAGTAAATTAAAAAAAATACAGTTTAAGATAAACTCCTTTTTTCTTAGTTTTCATTGCTGCCGATTACATTTGACGAATTAATCTATTTTTTGAGAGTACTTTCTATCTTCTTGGTATTAATTACATCCGCCTTTACATTAATCATTCTTGAGGTCTCTAATTCCATACATATTCATGGTTTGAATTATAAACACTGCACCTTAAAACAAAAGTACAAGTAGGATATTTACTTCTAATTATATTTATTAATGAATATTTATCATGGCAGAGAGGTCATGTGTGAACAAGATTTCATATATGTCAATTGGTCTTTGAGTGTTCAGCAGCGATATTTAATTGTGGAAAAAATGTCGATGCCCTAAAATGTTGGTCTAATTGGTTATTGCATCGAAACTAAAAGAAATGGATTACTTAAAAAGAAAAGAGTTGGCAATGGTCGGTATTAAAAGGTAGTAAATTGGTAGTATCCTGAAACTGGATCTCTTATCCCTATCAAAAATATTAATCGCCCACGTGACGCAGTGGTTAGGGCGCTGTTCTAGAGTCGTGGGGTAAGGAGTCGATCCCTTTGTCGCGGGTACGTGGAGACCGGTCCTTTGGATAAGACCGTATACACTGAGGTCCTGTGACGCAGTACGTGCTGGCACGGAAGAGATCCCTCACTGCTCAAAGTACATTTCTAAATTTGCAGCCTTCCAAAGGAAGTGTTGGCCTCTCAATATGAGTAAAAAATTCTCAAAGGGACGTTAAACAAACAAACAAAAATATTATTGAAAACTATTGTTAACTATAGAAAACCAAAGCATTTTAAAAATATTACGATACAATATTAAATATACAAGATCGAAATATTAATGATTTAAAAATGCATATGGTATATCGAAGTTACTAAGGCTTTAAAGTAGATAAGATTTCCAGAATATTCACTATAGTGGAAGATAGTTTAATGAAACCCGTCAACAGGGAATGTTTATTTTTCATAGGCACCTGATTCCTCCTCTGGAATTTCCGTGGCGCTGTGTTTTTATACCTTTTCACAGATTTGTATTTTTGTAGATTTTCTGACATCGATCATTGTTTGTTAAATTCACCTTTCTCATGAAGGCCACTGGAAATCATAAGATTTTACATGGATTTCAACAAACTCGTTCAAAGACAACATTTCCTGTTAGCATACAACATATCATTGGGTGTATTTGAACTGCATGGCAAATATTTCATACCAATGGTTAGGTCTTTATAGGCTGAATTTAGTTTTGAATTATTCCGTCTACCTGATCAATAAAGAGGGCTCATTGCGGGTGTGACAGGTCGACAAGGGATGCTATCTCCTCCCAGGACTTGATTTCACCTTTGTAATTTCCAGCGTTTAATTCGTGTTTTATGCCGTGTTCACAGACTTGTATCATTTGTAGATTTGAGATCAACCACTGTTCGTTTTCTTCACTTATTTCATAGTTTATTAGTAATATTTTTTGTTAGGATTAGATGAACTTCTTTTCATTTGTTTAAATTTCGGACAATTAAACCTCTTGAATAATTATCATCTTTTCAATAATCTCAGTATTTTGAAATTTACAAAGTGCGCTTTATCTTGACCAATGCAATACTTATTTCACTTTTTAAAATCGTGTGATGTTTTCTATATTAAAATAAAAATTCCATTTATCCTTAATATTTATGTGAAAAGTTTACCTTCCTTCTCAAAAGTTTTTATTTTTGTGATTTTAAAACATGACAATGATACCTTTTGTTTATGTTTGAAGCTTTTGCCTCCATTTTAAAGATCTTTTTGCGACCATATGTAATATCTCAGGGTAATGTCTTAATTTTTTGCTTCATGAAAGTATGCCTTAACGTCAGTATACAAGCTTTTTGTTGTAAAGGTACCATAAGTCAAGAATTTATCATTTTTGAGTATTGATCTTATAGATTACATACAAAATGTTTAATGTAATGGGTAACAACCAAAAAAAATGTCTGTACAGTGTATTGTTCCATCGACAACATTGTATGCTACATTGCCTTGATAATATTTAACCCCACTCATACAGAAAGTCTATTACTAGGCTGCAATGCTTATTAATGTATGGTGGCATTATTTTGATGTATGTTTTGTGTTACCTATCTTTTATATAGTATGTATCTCTTTTAATACCTTCTAAATCAAATCGTTCAGATTAATACGCTATGTCTTTCTTTTGTTAATTTTACGGCAATATTTCAATTTGAATGGGAACATTATTATCTTTTCTTAACAACAGGGAAATTCGCAAGGTATTTTTTTCTATAAAGATATCACTCATAAAATTATTACTTAAAGCTTGTTTTAATGGACCCTATGATAAAAAATGTACATGTTGTCATCATCAGTTATAGAAATGATTTAATTTCTTAAGAGCCTATTCATGAACACACCTATCTCCTCATAAGCGTTCATAGATATGTCTCTTCATTGTATACAACTAACTACTGAGTATTCCCTTCCTTACCTAACATGGGCGTTTATACCACGTGAGATGTCCCCAGTCCTAGTCATACGAGGTTACAAATGTTCGATATGAGAGAGTTAATTCACTGTAGTGTGTGTGTTTGTCCCAGAGTAGTATACAAATTTCCTTATTCTTCTGAAAATGGTGTTATTAATCATTGTACAACCTGTCAAAATTGAAACTCACAGGACTAAACAATAGGACGGATATTTTACCTAGCCATTTTTGCAGGTAAGGCTTTTTCTAGATCTGATATTTTTATAGAATCTGATATAAGCCATTCTACTTCATTATACATGCCTTCTTGATTATTTTCTATGTAACTTAAAAGTCATTTTCGAATTAAGTAAGCTATGGTGTTAGAACAACCAGAGCTATTCTTACTCTGTACTCTGTTTGATCGTGATACTTGAGTTTTCCTAGAATTAAATGAAAATTTATGAAGTGTTTAAGGAGAAAATCGGTTGTCAAGTGACATACGTTATTTAATCTATCAATAATACATTAGTCTTCTTGCGTCCGTAGAAATAAAGAATTAATGTTGTGGTTTTGTCAACCAAACTTTATTTAGAAGTACTGAACATTATATATTTTTATGAAACATAGAACAGTGTCACTTAAAAACCGAAACGGGCAAGAAAAGGTAGGGATATTGGTAAGAACTTAAATTATGTTAAATGTTAACACACAAAATTTAATCAGAGTTTTTTTGTTTTAAATTATATGTTCAGTTCCTGTAAATAAATGTAAATATTTAAATCATTTCTAGTGGTAGTCAAAAATCACCAAATTTCATGATTCAATAGAACTTAAAGATTGTGTTGAAAAAGAGATTTGGGAATTTCCGAGTTCTGTTTGTTTTAATTAGTTTTTTTTCCCTCGGCGAAAATAAGTGTATTGGGTTGTCTATTTATCAACAGAACTATGAAAATGCAATGACGACGACAAAATGCTGGTTTTAGAGACTATTTGACAATATCTTAAGACTCACGCTTATAAAAACACTATCTTTTTGACCCAATTGGGGAAAAATATGACTCTTCTGGAATGATTTATATCGAATGGGAAATATGTGTATACACACAATTTACATACATGTGTAATTAAGTAAAATTCTACTAAGATCATAAAGCAAACCTCTTGTTTTGCACTCTATTGAATGTTGTCGTATACTGCCCTGACAATTATTTTTTTTCACAGAATGACATAACATGGAAGGACATCGTGAATTCTGTGGGTGTGTTCTATGAAGTCATCTCAGCTGGGAGATGCTGGTTACTCTCTTTGTATACAAGATAATTTTCCGTAGACCCGTGTTATGAAAATGTAACAGAAACAGTGTCAAGTTCACTTATATTCTTAGGATTAATAAGAATAAAACATTGAAAAAAATCTGCCAAGATGGTGTCAGATTTCTTTAAATTTCTTTGGATGTTCAGTTTTCTCTCTCTAGGAAATTTGCAAGATCTTTCAGAATGTGAAATTCCAAAATGCAAGATTCATATTAGGACAAGGCCATCGCCACCTGTCATGGACCAACACACTGTTCCAATGGAAACAAAGGTAACTGGTATCATTATAGTTCGGGATGACAATTATAACTACACTAGGTGCATGGTGGATACGGCTAGCTTTCTGGATAATTTTAGTTTCGATGACAATCCCGTCTACGCTGTTTTTGTACTTGCTTGTAATAAAGAAGTGGAAGTGTATTTCTCTGAGGATAATAGATCTTACCTACCGAATGTTATGGCATATTTCCAAATCACGTTATGCCGAATAACCCAGGAGCAGCTTCAGCCTTTCAGAAACAGATTCAAAATATTTATGTTAAATCTAATGGCAAACTACCCTCCACTTGATTTCAGATACTGCGACGGAACTCCTGTTAATCTTAGCTACTGTGGAGTCTGGAATACTCTTCAAGGAATTTTCTGGGAGCCACAGCCTGCCACACTGACCGATTCTGTATCAGCAATTCAAGATTTGTTGTTTTGTAATTTAACCTTTCCAGACATCAAAGAAATTCAACTCACAAAAGTTCCGATGCAACAATATTTACCATCATTGTCGACTTTGTTTCCAAGACTGCAAGTTCTTAATATAATTGACTCAGATTTGACTGAGCCTCCTAATTTTCCATGGAGCGATATATGGCTGACATTAAGTATCAACATGTCGAGAAGGGATCAAGCACAAAGCGACTATGCTGGACAGTACAACATTCAGTTGGCAAATAACTATCATATGAAATCTATGTCTCTGAGTAAAAACAAGATTTCAAACCTCGGCAATCATAGCTTCAAAGGATTTCTGCATTTACTTGATTTATCAGAGAATGGACTAGAAGATATCAATGAATTTACGTTTAGAAATCTTCTTGGTTTCCAACATCTTGATCTAAGTGAAAATAAATTAAAAATTATTCCAAAGGATACTTTTCAAGGTCTTACAGAGTTACGCCATCTGGATGTGAAAGATAATTTGATTACATATCTCTCAAATGATCTCTTTTCTGATAACACAAAGATGGTGTACGTCGACTTTTCAAAAAACAATATAAATACGATTGAAATTAATACATTTTCACACTTACATTTTCTTAGGGAACTTCACTTGGAGGACAATAATATTTCTGCTTTACATCCACAATATTTTCCCAGTCAGTCGACTGAATTTAAACAACTTTTTCTAGATGGCAATAAGTTTTTCGATTTCCCAACAGCAGTATTTGATCTGCGACTACTGGAGAAAATAAGTGTAAGAAATTCAAATATAAGATTTCAAAACTTCAGCCGAACCATGCTGAATCTAAAATGGGAGTCAACACCGGAAGATGGAAATGATCCACACAGTTCCTTGAAGAACTCAAATTCGGAAACAAGACAGCAAACCGATATAGGTCACAAAGTCATATTAGACTTTACTGGAAACAAAATTGAAAATCTCCGCTTACCGTGGTACGACATCAAAAGTTTCAAAGACAAAGATACAGAAAAACTACACAAAAATCTCTTGTTCTTCTTCCAATCGTTTCAGATTCTGCTGGTGAACAACCCTCTTCGTTGTGATTGCGGAATAAACCAAATATCTAAAGTAGTAAATCATTTCTTAAACGAGAAATTGATTGGAGAGGATATATATTTCAATGCGTGGAAATGTTTCTGGCCTTCTGAATTTCAAAACCGTCCACTTTTAGAAATAAAGGAGGAAGACACATATTGTGAGAAAAATATGTCCTTGTGTCCGACTAATTGTACATGCTATAAACGATCAGTAACTGAAATAAATATTATAGACTGTCGGGATCGTGGTTACCGTTCTTTACCCGAAAAATTGCCATCTGGTACTTTAGATCTTTGGTTTGACAAAAACAATATAACTTATTTAAATAGTAGAGAATATTTAAACAGGGTTAGAACATTGAACCTTTCTAGTAATAATATTGCAAAGATAGACGTTGCTGTATTCCAGCAAATGAAAAATATTCGAGAACTCTTTTTGAATTCCAACTTTCTTGTTTCTTTGCCTGCTGCTACTCAGGAATATTTTTCAGGATCTATTTATCTAGAAGATAATCCATTCAAATGTGATTGTAACACAATGTGGTTAAAACAATGGATGACACAACGAGCAGATATAGTGGTCGACTCCCAGAAAGTTACGTGTAATGTTGATGAAAAAGACGGGGAAGGACAGAAATTGATTTTTGTACCAGATAGTGATTTTATCTGTTTGGAGGACTTTGATTCCTACAATAAGGTCTTTATTCCTACAGTTGTGTGCTCCGTTTTGCTGGTAGTACTGATAGTAACCGTGTCCGTCTTATACATCTATAGACTGGAAGTAAAAGTTCTGCTATATGTCTACCTTGGATTTCATCCCTTCGATCAGGACAAAGATTGTAAAGAAGTCATTGACGTGTTAGTCGTACATTCTCCTAATATAACGGACTGGGTCATGGAAAATATTGTCGAGTATTTGGAGTTCTGTAATTCACATTATTTGGTTTGTGAAATGATGAGAGATTTTGTTGCAGGGTTCTCATATCAGGAAAACATTGCAACTTTAGTTAAACATAGTAAAAGAATAATAATAGTGCTATCGAAAGAAATACTGAATGACGATATTTTAAAAATTGCGTGGAACGAGACAAAAGAAAAAATTAAAGCACAGAAGACCAATTATGCTATTGTTGTTTCATATGTTGTAAATCTAAAAGAAATCCAAAGCAAAGAGTTAAAGCAATATGTGAAGGGAGGACGGCATATTGATGCTTCGCTAAGCCTCTTTCAGGAAAAGCTCCTGTATTGTATGCCACAATTGAAAGATGATGAAACAAGAATCAAAAGTTTACCTGATTTAAAATATCTAATTCAGCACATGTATGGAAGTGATAATCTCAACGCCGAAATGTATGAACGTCATGCTTTTGTATCTTATGGTGAGAGTAAAATGGGTTATGTAATGAATGAATTGAGGCCTATATTGGAGGACAATGGATTTACACTTTGCCTCCCTGACAGGGACTTTATTCCCGGGGCACCAAAGGAAGAAAACGTACTAAAAGCCATCGACAACTGTCTTCATACAATTTTTCTCTTGTCTGGAGAACAGTTAGACAATGAGTGGTCAATATTCACGTTCCGATCTGCCAGTGAAAAGTCAATGCGGGAGAAATGCAACCATTTAATTGTTGTTCTTTTGGATGACGTTAACTTGGATACCATGTGTGAAGAGGTTAAAACCTATGTAAATACTCATGTGTCTCTAAGGGTTAACGAAAAAGGATTTATCAAACGGTTACTCAACGCTTTGCCTGACGCTGAAGATCACGAACTTTACATCAGAAATGATGAAAATAATTTTGTCAATTTTGAAAACCTGCAGGAGAAGATGGGAGATAATTTCACAGAAACTGCTCCTGATATCATAGAACCCGAAGTGAGAATGAATGGGGATGTGAACAGGAATAATGGAAAAAAAAATGGTTATGTTCATCTATCTGATATTCATCTGGATAAGTCTCTTTACTATTATAACAACAAAGCTTTTGAAGGAGACAGAACGGCTGTTACAGACATAAACGAAAAGGAAAATTAAGGGTGGAAAATATGTGCAGGAGAAAATCAAATCCATTTCAGTTGATTTGACAACTTTTTTTTACTTTGGCATTTTAGGTTTGTTGGGGGGGGGGGGGGGTGTTATAACACGATCTCATAAATTATAAATGACAGCAAATCACTGATGATATTATGTAGTTACATGTAATACTTCATTTATCTTTTATATTCCTCAAGGAAGTGCGAGTTGATTAACTCTGTTAGAGAAACAAGTAGACAAGGGAGTTAACTCTAAAATGTATAATTGCGATATATTTTTTAATATTATTTCCTTCCAAAATATTGATTACATCAATTGCCTCAAATTTTGCTCTGTTTGCAATACTTGATTTGCAAGCTTATCATTTTCCCTCCTTTTTAAAAGGACAAACATAATTTCAGGAAAATGAAAAACTGTGTAATTTGGAAATTACCCTGTTAGGTAGTAGTTGATATATTTCAGTGTATTTTATGAAAAAATTTAAATTTTATACTTCCCGCTATTTAAAGTAAAATCTATCCAATCTAAATTTTCAATCAAATCTACACTTTAGGTCCATTTTTGTCCCCCGCTTTCACTGAACATGTAGGTCTATATGTCCGTCCATCTGCCTGTCTGTGTTTCAGTCCGTATGCAACTCTTTCGTTTCCGGGGATATCTCGAGAAGCCTTTGAGCTTTTGCAATGAAATTTTATACCACAACTCCCTATGGCCTGAAGAAGACCCCTATTGCTCTGAGGTCAAAAGATGTAAGAACAAGGTCATGAATTCATAATTCTGTCTGTTTTTTCCTTTCTCGGCGATATCTGAAGAAGCTTTTGAGTTTTTGCAATGAACTTTTATACTACAACACCATATGGCCCCGCCCTCCCCACTTAATGTGTCCCGCCCCGTTTTTTTAATTTTTTTAATTTTTTTATCAAAAGTCAATTTGAAATCTGTTGGCATCGATCACGGTCAAAGTTTTAGAGTGACTCCCGTTTGCATTAAAAGTCGCCTGACACTATTTTTAGCACAGGAGTATGTTGAGAGTTATTACATATTATACAGGTTGCCGGCGGACTTTACATGGTAAATCTGTTAGAATTGTTTAGTAAAGGCTTAATTAGACGCCATGTGTTGTGTTAAATTTTGCAATATCGAACGTGTCAAGAACCAAAAATGTTATGAGGACAGTGAAAATCTGTGATATTTTCAGACGAAGCACGAGTATTTGCTGGTCAAACGAAAAATATATATTTAGAAAAAAAGCCAATGAGAAGTGGTGATTAACATGTAAAGCACCAATATGCATTAAGTATTTGAAACCGCGCCTATTTTCACACAAGCCGTTATGTGTTGTGTGTACAAACATTCTTATAAAATCATTATTACAGTGTGATATATATTCTATATAAAAAGAATCTTCTGTACACATTTTAAAGAATAAGCAATCAAATCTATATTGGCAATTACAATCTGAAAATGGTGTATAAGAAGATCGTTATGTAGATATTTACAGTAATAGAAAATACAAAAAATAAAATCCGCCAACCAACCCCAACTTTTATGCAAATTCATTTGGCCTTAATATTAATGCCAAAAGCAGATCCAGGAAATTTCTCGGGTTGATGGGGGGTAGATGGGTGGGTGTTCGCCCCAGTCAAATAATTTCCAACCTAAAAATTTCTTGACGTGCAAAAAAGAAACAAAACCAACCTAAACTCCTTTACTAACCGTGAAAAATAACCATGAGAAACTTATTTCTTAAGAGGGGTCCACGCTTTTCCTTGGGGGGGGGGGGCAAAGTCATTTTTATATTTGCTTCAATATACATTTAATAACTCTGCAAATGGGGGGGGGCAAAGTCATTTTTATTTGCTTCAATATACATTTAATAACTCTGCAAATTCCGGGGGGGTGGGGGGGGTGGGTGGGGAGACCCACCCACCCCTCGAACCCCGCTCTAGATCCGCGCATGCTGTCTTTTTTCTTATTCTTTTTATAGCTTTCATTACTATCTTGTACATATATTTTAGTATAATCGTCCTGTTAAACGCCTTTGAGTTATTTTTTTTATATATAGGACCTCTTTAATTGTTTTTTTTCTATTATTTTATTATTATTTTCCTTAAGCGGGGAACACAGATTCTCTGAATTGACTATCTCTGTGAATTATCAAATTTGTTACTTTATCGTCAGTTTCTCAGATTGATTCAGTCAACCTCATTACATGTCTGATATATGACAAAAAATTAGTGTTTAAAAGCCTTAATTGAAAAGAAACCAACATTTTTTTTTTTGCATTTAAAGGCTTGGGTGATTTGAAAATAACATCTGTTATCCACATTAAATTAGAATTACTACTTGCATTTTTTTGAAGAGCATTAATGCTCTAAAGAGTTTGGAAGGTACTCTGCTGTTAAATTTATCATATTTTCCCAACAAAGTTATGAATATATTTATATATGTTTATTATTTGTTTTCCCAGTTTTGTGAAAGTATTTCTATTTTTGCATTTGAATACTTACTTGTTAATTCTACCTCGATTTTCCTGAGCTTTACGCAATTGACCAAGCTTATTTACCTCCATAGCTTTTAACTGAATATATTGCGTATATTTTTGTCCATGTTGTCTCATTTAAAATTCATGTCTGTCATTTTATCTGTTTAATAAAAAGGATTTTGTCTTCTCTTGATTTTTTTTAAATTTTTTTTTTAAAAATCTGTGATCAAAATGAAATATTTTAAAATCATAGCAAAATGAAAAAATTTAGTCACTATGGCATGAGATATTTGCAGAAAATTTACTTATAGTTCAGAAAAAACAAATAGATAAAGAACAGTGATCATTCTTTGAAAAAAAGGCTTTGAACAATGGCACCTGATCCCACCTCTAAATTTTGAGATCCGTGTTTGCCCTGCTTCAAATTTGTATCATTTCATTGGTCTTTCGAGATTGAATATTGTAAGTTATCTTCATATTTCACAACTTTAAAAAGGATAAAAGCACTTGCTTATGGAACCATCTGAGGTTATATCAGGTGCCTAGGATGAATAAGAGTCTCCTTTCAACCAGTCAAAATCGCCTTGAGCCCTTTGTATTGATTAGGTAAACGGGGTAATTTGTAGCTAAAATTTATATGAAAGTAATGAAACATATTAGTCCAAATTTGACCCAACGATAGTTTGTCTTTGAAACTAAAATCATAATAACGACTATACAATTTGCGAAATACTGACTGCAAATGAGATTTCAAAATCCCTGTAACATGAACGTATTTGTCAGTAGGCTTTCATGTTTTTTTTTTGTTTTTTTTTTAATGTTCCTACACGGAACATGCTCTTGCGTATACCAAATCAATTGTGAGACGTAGGCACGAAGCCTACACATTTCCGTGATTTGTCAGGAAGTGTTGAAGTCGCTTCGTTATGTCCGAAATTCCTTTCGTTCAAATATTTTTTCTTTATCTTTTAGAAATTGGTCTATTTGATGTTAGCATTCATTTGGAATAAACGTAGTTGTTAATGTGTATTTTTTTTTTGTAACTATCAGGTACAAAGTATTTCAAAATTGAAAAAAAAACCACTCGTTTATACCAAACAATTGGATATTTCATTTACATGTATAGAATTATCATGAAAGTGTAGAACATTGTCCAATCAAATTATACATGCTATAGAAAATACGGCTTGCTACAGTACTCTTTATATAGAATTATACCTTCTATAGAATACTGAGTAATAAAATTATGCCTGCTAAAGAAAATGCGTTACTGCAGTACTCTATCTAATGACAATGCACTTCTAAAAGCAAAAATACATATTCTTATCATAATTTCCCAACAAGAAGCATTAAAGATATATTTTGAACAGGATAATGACATAAAGCATATTTTAATTTGACCTCAAATAAAACTTGAACTTAATATAGTAAATAAAGACAATGAAAGGACATTAACTTGTCTTGACGTCAGACTATTATTGAAAGATAACAAAGCACACCTGTTGAAAACGCCGTGTCAATTTTTTTCTCAAATTAATTTTTTGCACCATATTTTATTTTTAAACCTTGTCTAGATTTAAATTTAGCAAACGTTTCTTATGTTTGGAAATATTTGATAATCACCTACTGTTAGCCAAACTCTAGTGTTTCCATGGCACCTATGTTGTTTGTTTGTTGTTGTTTTTTTTAAGGGTCCTTGTTTTTGCCCTGTTCACGATCCGTATTCTTACAGGATGTATTAGATTGATCACTGTTCGTTATTTTCATCTTTTTCACCGATATACATCTGTTTCTTATATTACGGAATGAAGAAATATTACAAAACAGTTTTAAATAAATTAATGGCAAAAATTTATATGGTAATTCCATGCAAACGATTAAAGAGCAATTCCCTGTAATGACTATAAAACTTACATAAGAATCTTGTCACGCAGAGCCACATAATTTCTTCAAACTCGCTTTGATAAAAATATTTCTTACCATGAACTTAAATCAGGCAAATATTGCTTGCATTGTATCATGGTTATCATGAAAAACTGCATAAGAGTCCAAAAAGCATTTTGGGACACATTCAGAGTCCGATTACTAAAATTTTCAACAATGTAGAAAGGTGACTTTGATTATTTCTAAAAGTCGAAGACTTGTGTTTTTTGGATGAAAGTAGAGCATTGAAAAGCAATTATGTCATTCATTCATTCGATTACACATACATTAAGAAATGAAAGCAATTCTAAGTTGGATTGTTAAGAAATAAAAGAGAAAGCTCCCAATAAGACAGAGATGCAAAACTTTTTAGCGGTAGATATAGCAAAATGTCTGCGGAGTTAAATTATTGCCATTAACATGAATGTAAATTCACTTTGGTTACATGATCAGAATATATATGTTTTAAAAATAAAATATTCATGAGTTTAAATGAATTTTTACTGTATCTTTAAAGAAATGTGTTAATAAAAATGTTTATCTAATTAAATGAAGATATATACGGAAGCATTCTCGAAGTTAGTTTGACACATTATCTTTATATTCCTGTACGTTTATCTTATGAATTCAGATTAGGTACATGTAACTTCTGCACA